TGTGTGTGTGTGTGTGTGTGTGTGTGTGTGTGTGTGTGTGTGTCCGTCCGCACGCGTGGTGAAACACCAAAGCAATGTGCCTGGATCTGGACAATAAAGATGTATTTAACTTACCTTATCCTATCTTATATCAACTCCAAATTGGTGATCAGTGTTGTAATAAAGTGCGCCACCCCAGCCGACCACGATAGTCCAAGTAGTGGTTAAACATTTCAAATAAATAACGCACTGCAGTCCTGAGCTGTACCTACTCACCCCCCCCCCCCACGACGCCTCCTCAACTGAATGCTCACATGACAAGGTCAGTACATTTTTTTCAATCAGACTAATAACATGACAAAACAAAAACATAACAAAATCGAAAACCAAACCAAAATACCTGCCAATAACAACAAACAAACATCAACAACGACAAAAACAACAACAAAAATGAAATAAACATGAAATTCACGTAGAATACATAAACAAAGAAATCTACAGAAGTTGTACATTCCAATGTCACTAGGAAATAAACAGTATAGAGTAGCGGGTCCCCGGGAAATGTAGGGATTACAGAGGATACAAGAGAAGAGAAACTCCTGAGAAATATTAGAATGCGAAATCAACGTAATCAATGAGAGGTGACCAGAAAATCCTCTTCCTGTTTTTTCGAATGTGTCAAATTATTCCACGCGCAAGAAGGAGAGATAGAGAAGCAGCAGGGGCGTATCTACTGGAAATATCGCCGGTGGCAGGCACTGACACAAGGTACTTGTCGTAATACCCCCCCCCCCACAGGCTCTTATCCCGGGAGAGAGCCAGGGGAAGCAGACGCGTCCAAAAGATAAGGTTAGTCCATATAGGCTACTTCTTTATTTACTCAAGTCCGTAGTCCAATTTGATGCAAATAAAAATCCATTTCCTCGCCATATCGAGTGTGAAATCGCTCTTTGCTTGTGCAAACCCATCCCCCTAGAATTCCTGAGGTACCAAGTCTTCCGTTCCTTACCCCGCTCAACTCGATGACGCAAGGAACCGAATCCCCACAAGTCCCGTGACCGTCAGACACAGAGATCTTTTGTGTGTGGGGAGATCCGAATTTTCCGCCTTTTCGACTCGAATATCTGGCCAAGTGGATAAAGTCAACATGTGGTGCAATCTTCATGTCCGGAGATGGTTTTTGGTGGCGGAAGAAAATACGAAAACAGGTTACACCCAACTACACATTACGCAGTTGTTATTACTTCACGCTTTCATTTTAATGAAACTATTGGAACATTTTAATAATAAAGAACTTCTAGACAGGCGCAATTCGTTCTAATGATTAAGTTTTTTTTCCGTTGCTCATCAGAGAAGTGGGCTCAGTTTATGAGTTGTAAAATCTATTTTATCGAGAGTTTCATGTATTTCTGCAGGGTCTGAATCCTTTTCATCCTCGACGGGCAAATCAAAGCAGCCCGCCTCCTATATAACCTAATTAAGTCAGGGGAGGGGATGGGGTCGGAGGTGGGGTCGGCGGTGAAGATAATTTTTATCAAATACTTTCAGTCATTCAGCTGGAAGGGTGTAACCCTCTCAGACCGGCTTGGCCTGACACGGGAAGGGGGAGAATAGAAGCCCGCCTCCTAAATGATGGAAATTGTGAAAATGGAGGTGTAAACCACCAGTATAAAATTTTATTTAGAAAGGTGTGATAGACCTGAAAAAAAAATGTAGTTCGTTTTTAGTTGTGTTTCCCCTGTTCTGACATTAGGACGACGGGACCCCTGACCTGGGCGGCAAGGTTTATTGTTCGTTCTTCTTTGTGAATGGAGATCGCTTTTTATAAGAAAAGTTATTCAGGGGTCGTACTGTGACAGACGGCGAACACCTATGCCATTCCTATCCCATTCTGTGGTTGAAGAAAAACATCGTAGATGTTTCGTGCCCTTCTTTACCTCCAAATGAAATGGGCAACACTTTGTTAATTAGGGAGGCAGGCTGCTTCGATTTTGCATGTAAAGGCCAGCCTGAACTGAATGGTACGATATGTCCAAGCAGATGGACCCAGGCGGGGATTAATTTAAAAAACATCACCAGAAAGACCCAAACAAAACAAACAAACCAACAAAAACAAAAACAAAAACAACAACCCCCCCCCCTAAAAAAAAAGGAAATTAAAAGAGAAAGAAAGAGAACAGGTCAAAAACAATCTAACGTAAATCATGAATTATTCAGAAGCTTGAAAGTTGAATAACGTTCGCTACGTTCCCTAACCCCTTTCATTGTCACTTTCACCTACATCAAAGATGCGTTAAAGTGAGGAAATTAAGTTTTAACTTTTCGAATCATCTGGTTTATCTGTGTTTTAGTACCGTTCCGTTCTACCCTCTTAGCTTTGTACAGCGCAGCAGGCCTTCCTAATAAGTGTGTCTGAGACTGG